TCATTATCCAGATTATTCCATAATCTTATTCCTTTGACTGAAGTACATCTGTCCTTTAAATTTGTTAGAATTTTAGGTTTTACAAACAGTTCTAGTCCCTTAAGATTATAACAATTTACCCTCTTCTTAAAATTTGACTGGATCTTCAAAGGTAATACATTTGTATGAGCCTTATTCATAACCTGTAAAATATTATAATCAACCAACTCATAAAGCTTTAATAATTTCAATTGATGAAACAATATATTTGATGGGCGACTGTAATGCTTTCTGGTGATAATTCTTTCTGCTTTTTTCTATGAAATGAAATTAGGATTAGTAATTGTTTTACATGCATTGATATAATCCCAGGGCCTTTAAAACAAATGCAGATAAATTTTATTGATGCTATAAGACAATAAAAGGAAGCTGTTGTTAAGTCATAAAAGAAGTGGCACACTTGTCATRATTGTTTAGCTGCTTTGTGTTTCAGGGTCCTCTTGTTCATTCTGACTTACCTTTAAGATGTACCTGTTTACAGCAGATTGGCTGATCTAGTCACAGCAGGGGCAAGTTTGAAGAAGTATTCAAACAAGTTGCATCAGAAAAACATCCATCAGTTTACATCAAAGTAGGGTTGGGCAATATTGGCAAAAAAATTAATCACGATTAATTGTAGTATTTAGCCGATAACGATTATTTAGATGATTAATCCCCTGGAGTCCCTGGACGCCCTTATGTCCTAGTCACATGACCAATTTAGTGGGAAAGATTTGCTCTTCGTAAAAATCTGTTCCAAATTGTGTCAAAATCACAGTCTTCAGGCTATACATCAAATTTTAAATTGTATTGATAAATAAAAAAAATTACAGAAGTTTTTTTTTTAATGTTCGTCATATTTGAAGCYGAGAGGAGCACCAAGCGGCCTGACTGGAGAAATCTCCAGTTGTTTTTCTACATGTGCTCTCAGACATCCCTAATGCTAAATSAACTTAAACATGATGTTGAAGCTAAAAAAGTTTCATATTTTACAGTTTTAAACCTTGTAGTAAAGTGTTTGAATGTTTGYAGATAGACATTGTAGAGATAACTTTTCTCAGTTTATAGTTTTTTTTTCAAAGCTCTGTCTTTTTTTATTTATAGCTCACTTTGTGTTTTGATGTTTTTCCAGGTGAAGAAGTTAAACTCAATGATAGCAGAGAAAAAGACAGCTCTTGCACCGATTATTAAAGAGCTGAGGTCACTAAGACAGCAGCGGGGAGTAAGTATCTAGACTTTTGATCACTTGCACCCATAAAAACAGACCATTAGGAGTTGTCTTTATTTCATAGGTAACTATGTAACATATAAGATTCCAGACTAATCACTACCATAATATGTTAAAGTCAGGTTTGAAAACATCCTAWTTTTTTATGTAATTCTATTAATATTGATTGAAAAGTCTCAGAGGAGAGAAAACTTTCATAACTGTTTCAATAAATGTTTGGAGTTAACTGCTCCTGGGAACAAGCACTTTACTTGTTTTATGTGTTATACTGAACTATGTCCATTACGAACAATTTACGCGTCCATAAATAAAGTACACAATGGGAAATACCCCTCTGCATTGCTGGGCTGAAGCAGAGGATTAAGTTTTCCTACACGTGTTCCCAGAATTACCCTTCCACTTCACTGGGTAATGTCTGCTAATAAAGAGCTGCAACAGGAAGACACAAATAGATTTTGTAAGATCTGTTGTACGTTTAATGACTAAAATATCAGCTGTGCTCTGAAATGGATCAGGATGATTTCATGTCCCTGTCTCAGCTCTACTGTATCGTTTTTGTAACGGTTTTGTCTCTTTTGCACATTTCATGGGATTCCTATCATAACAGGATCTAAGTCAGGAGTACGAGGAAAAGAAGAAGCAGTATGAAAGTTGTGCTGCTGGCCTGGAAAGCAACCGATCGAAACTGGAACAGGTAGAGCTTTTCATTGTGCTGGACATGCACTAGAAATCCTGGTCTTACATATTTCTCATATATTATGATGTGATCTTTTTTGCTTTGTTTCTTCTTAGGAAGTGAAAGCATTGAGGGAGGAAGTGGCACAGAAGGAAAACCAATACCATTACATAAACTCCATGTCAGAGGCAAGTGCTTTCATGATTCTTATAGGAAAAACATGAGTCACACTATAAYCCAGTTGTTGTAATCCCAAATTTACTGGACTAAAAACTGTACTATATAATACAACTGCAGCATTCTGCATGAAACCTGCCCTTCCACYAACACCCACTGCCACATCAGCGTGATCGTAGCATTTCTTTCATCTGCAGATCACTGAGATGCAAATGGAGCGGGTGGCCGAGGAGATGAAGGCCTACGTGTCGTCGGATCAACAGGAGAGGAAGAAGACCATCAGGTGAGCCCGTCCAGCTGGGCCAGCTGCTTTCTGAAACAATCCTCTTTAAGGTCTTTTTACAAGATGACTTCATCTGCTGCTGTGCAGGAAAAAAAAAACCTGTCAAATCACCAGCTTATGTAATAACTCAGMGCTGACGGGCCACACCTTTATTTGAAAACTCACTGAGTAAGAAGCGGTATTTGATTTACTGTTTCTGTTTTTGCAGGGACGTGTACATGAAAAACATTGCAGAGCAGGAGTTACTTGGAAAGGTGAGAAAAGCATTTCCACGTGCTGACTCATCAGAACCACAGGATCAATTCTTGGAAACATTGCTTTATTCTATCAAGAACAAAGTCAGAGAACCCAACAGGCTTGGCAAGAAGGTTGACTGAACACTTAKTGAGTTGGAGTCAAGTAGATTTGTATTACAGATATTATCTGCTAAAAATAAAGGCCTCATTTTGCCCTATGTTCTTTAAACTGGACTACAGTGAGCAAACAAATGTAGCACAGACAATGAGGTGGTGGATCTTTTTTAGTAAAAACTCAAAAATAAATATGGGTTCTCTCCAGGTAAAAACATGACTGTTAGGCTAAGTGGTAACTCTTAAATTGTTCCTAGGTGTGAGTGAGAGAGTGAATGGTTGTTTGTCTCTATGTGTTCCTGTGATGGACTTGTGACCTGCTCAGGGTGTACCCCACCCCTCACACTGTGACTGCTGGATATGGGCACCAGTGACCCTGAATAAAAAAAAGTGTATAAAGATGATGGATGGATCGTATAGTTTATACACACTGTCAGGGTTCACAGTTTTTTTTTTCATCCATATATTATATATATAATATGGTTTGGGGCCCATTAAAGAGGTCACCATATCATACTTTCAACTCTTGCTTTAACTGACCAGAATGAGACAAGAGTGATACTCAGGCTGATCAGGTCATTCTGACACAACAGCAAGGGAGAAACAAAAGTCAGATAAACTGAACTACAAAAAATGTTTCCAACTAAACTGTTCAAAGCACTGCCAAATAGAAAGCTATGAAAGAGAAGTATTTATGATATCAASTCAAAAACACAAAAATCAAACCACAACACTGAACTTCCCTTTTACTGACCTGCAACATGGTGCAAGTCAGTCTGTGAGCTCCAGATGTGATGCAGCTGGATCTCTGTCTGTTAAATGGCAGGTCAACTCCAAAAGAACTGCTGACTCAACGAAACAAAAAATAAACTACTGCAAATTACAAAATAAACTGCAGCAAAATATAAGGAAGTTGACTCCACAGAATCAAAAGTTTCTGCTACCAAATACTAAGAAAATGTATGTAAATGTGTTACTTTAAAGAAAATTATAAAACATTCTCTCTATAATTATTTTGGCGTTAAATAAATAGAAACAATTTTAGAATCCTATCTAAAACTGTTTTCTAGTTCATCTACTTTCAACTGTATATGTGTTTCTGCATAAAATCTGTTTCTTTCTGGACTGCAGAAGTTACGTGAAGAGCAGAAGCTGGTGAGGGAGAACCACAGCGCCAACATGGAGCAGATGAAGATGTGGCGTGACCTGGAGCAGCTGATGGAGTGCAAGAAGCAGTGTTTCATAAAGGCTCAGAACCAGGTTTCTATTGGTCAGATCACTCAGGAAGGAGGTGAAGACAGGCTGGTGCTGTGAGGACACGTCTGCACAGAGGACTGTTGGTCTTCAGATGTGAATTACTCTCTGTAACCTCCTGTAACATGTAGTGTTTGTCAGGCTTTGTTGTGTTCATTTAAAATCTTTTATGTTTTGTCACATGGTTGTTGAGGTTCGCCTGATAGTTGAAATCTTTTTTGGAACAGACTACAAACTTCTCAGGTTCTTCTCAGATCCACACAGTGAAGGACCTGTTCAAGGACATGTTCTTTTTAATTTGCCTCCCATGGGAGACTTTCCTTTTACGCATCTTTAAGAATCCACTTCCTGTCAAAATGTCCAAACATATCAGCGTACAAAGTGGTGCACTTGGAGCGTGGCAGTGTCAGCTATTTTTGGCAGCACCAATGTATGACCTTGGGTTGTGAATGGAAGTACAACTCTGGATTTCATTAGGACCTCCACGATTTTATTAAAAATCCTATTTTTCTGTTTGATGTATTTGATGGGACTTTCCTAATTAAAGATGATTTCACATTACAGACATTTATGATTTAATAATTTCATTGTGATGTGTTACTTTTACATTACATTTATACACTGCCTGGCCAAAAAAAAAGGTCATCAAATAAAAAAGGTCACTAATATTTGGTTGGACCACCTATATGTTTGATTACAGCACACATTCTCTGTGACATTGTTTAGATAAACTTCATTGTCACCAGATTTCTCTCCATCCAGTGTTGCTTTAATGTTTCACAAAGATCTTTCATTGATGATGGTAGAGTCTGACCTTCTCCAGCACATCCTAAAGATTCCCTGTGGAGCTGATCCATGTGTGAAAATGATGTCTCATGCTCCCTGAACCACTCTTTCACAATAAGAGCCCCATGAATCCTGGCATTGTCCTCTGGGAATATGTCCGTGCCATCAGGGAAGAAACAATCATTGATGGAATAAC